GTTCTCTTGCATTAGTCATCATCAGCATATCTGCATATGTGATGATGTTACACATCATTGGGTCATGTAATCCACATGATAAAGACGTGTTACATGAACGTGGGGAGAAATGTTTTCTTTTTAGGTGTAACTGTAAACCTGTGATGGTCTTTCATTCTTCATATATTGTTGGTTTTTATTCTCAAACGCTATCTGCTGTCTCTGACTCTTCTCTTCAGGGGTAAAACTAATTACATCAACCTCGGCTCCTTCCTCATCAAGCCCGTGCAGCGGGTGATGCGTTACCCGCTGCTGCTGATGGAGCTGCTTGGGGCCACACCGGAGAGCCACCACGACCGGCCCCAGCTGACTCAGGCTCTGCTGGCCATCAAGGAGATCAACGTCAACATCAACGAGTACAAACGCAGGAAGGACCTCGGTAAAGATCACTGTGTTTTGTGTTCGCTGCATACGAACGGCGTGAACATGCATCTTGTTGTATGTTTGACTGTGGGAGTCTTTTAAAGACTTATGTCTCCCCCTGGTGTCCACAGTGGTGAAGTACAGAAAAGGGGACGAGGACACGTTCATTGACAAGATCTCGAAGCTGAGCATGCACTCCATCATCAAAAAATCCAACCGAGTCAGCAGCCACCTCAAGCACCTCACAGGAATTTCACCTCAGGTACGTTGAGGATGTTCTTAAACAAAGTCAAAGGTCACGACTTTCTCTTCGCTGTCGGCTCTGACCTCTGACCTCTGTGGTTTTCCCAGATTAAAGACGAAGCGTTCGACGAGGCTGAGAAGAGATTCAGGCTGCAGGAGAGGCTCATCAAGTCTTTCATTAGGGACATTTCTCTGTACCTGCAACACATCAGGGTAGGAACCCATTACCATGATCACAGAAAAGATCATATTACACCTATTTTCCAGTCACTGTATTTGTACATGTTTTGGAATAAAGTATTATTGGATTGTAACTTTAAGAGTTTGTCTCTTTAGGAATCTGCATCTGTGAAGGTGTTGGCTGCCATCAGTTTCTGTGACATCTACACAGAACGCAGTGCGCTGGACCCTGAGCGCTTCCAGAGAGCTCACCGCAGCATCAGCGACAAACAGTTCACACAATTTGTAAGTCGTCTGTTAAGCTCCGCTTAGTTTCTGTAAGAGTGCATTGGGAACAACATCTGATTGCCTCACATTATCTGTCTTCCTCCCATCCTCCGAGTAGAAGGAGCGCACCGAGGCCTTGGTCATCAACCCGCTCACCCAGCTGCTCCTCATGTTCACCGGGCCGCACAAGCTCATCCAGAAGCGCTTTGACAAGCTACTGGACTACGACAACTGCAAGGAGCGTGCCGACCGCCTCAAGGACCGGCGTGTCCAGGAGGAGCTGCAGGTGGCGCGCAACAACTACGAGGCGCTCAACGCTCAGCTTCTAGACGAGCTGCCCAAGTTCCACATCGCCGCAGAGGAGCTGTTCACGGGCTGCGTGAGGGCGTTCGCTCAGGCTCAGAAGAACTTCATGAAGACGACTCTGGGAGAGTTGAAGCCCATTCTACAGATTGTGAGTGTGGCTCATTTATGCTTTCTCCCGCGTACCAAAAGAGAGATGTCTGTTTCAAACTGTCTCTGCCCAAATACGTTCATACGTCTGGTGAGGAGATTCTGCTCTGTAGAGCAATTCCCCCTGCAGCTGTTCCTTTCTCATTTTCTTTCTCCTCTTAATGACCTTTCTCCTGTTGCCAAAATCTCCAGTTTTCTAACAAAGTGGGCACGGAGGGCAACCTCATCGCACAGTTCCAAGAAGAGTACAGTCGAGTTCTCCAGCTTCTGCAGCGCTTCAGCTTCTGCCCACAGAACCTGCCTCCAGCCACCGCCACTGCAAAGAAGCCCTTCGAGAAGAAGACGATGGAGAAGCAGACCTCGAAAAAGCAACTGCAGGGACCTGTGAGTTAACGCTGCTCCTTTCTCTGCTGCATCATACTCGAACAGATGATACAGGAGTTTCACCACTAACATGAGATTTTTCGCTTTCAGCCAAATTACATCATGCAGACCGAGGAGCACCGAGCAGGACTTCTGGTGCGCTATGGTCCTGAGAAACTTTTCCAGGCTGAGAGAAACTTTAATGCTGCCCAGGATCTGGATGTCTCCGTACTAGAGGGAGATCTTATAGGTGTGATCAAGCAGCAGGACCCCATGGGTAGCAACAACCGCTGGCTAATAGATAATGGAGGTTGGTAATAAAAAGACCAGATTTAAATATATTTATCCGATCAGCCACACTTTGTTGGGATTATGGTGCAGTAATATTTTATTCCTTGTTTTGCAGTCACCAAAGGTTTTGTGTACAGCTCCTTCCTCAAACCTTACAACCCACGTAGAAGCCAATCAGACGTCTCCATCGAGAGCCAGTCGTCCAATGAGTCGGGCTACGGCGGCTCCTCCCCCGTCTTCTCCCGCCAGAACAGCAGCAGCACGCTGACCTTTAACCAGGAAGCGGCCACCGTCAGCTTTTCCACGCATCCCCAGAGCCAGTCATCGCCACACCCGTCGCTGGACTCGGCCTCATCTCGCAGGAGTCTCCCCAGAGACACACCCAACGCCGACTCCGCCAGTCTGAGCAACTCCATAAACTCCTCCCCCCGAAATCCCTCAAACCGAAGGGAGATTTCAGACCAAACGTACCGGAACTCCCCGAGTCACAGAGACGCGGAGCCTTCGTACCGCCACTCTGGAAACCACAGAGACTCGTACGACGCGGGTACGAGCCGCCGCAAGGAGACGTCGGACCTCTCTGAGACAGACACTTCTACTTCGCACAGAAACAATCAATCACAGCGGTATGGACACACAGACAAATCCTACAGCTCGTACCAGTGGAGAAACGGAGACAGTGGTGGCCAAAAGAAGTCGGGTTACTCCAGAGACGAGTACATCGAGCCAGAGCCGGAACGAGAGGAACCAGAGGAACCAGAGGATGAGAGCGAATTAGACGGTCACCAGGTGAGACTCCTGAGATGTGACATAAACAAAAATTATAAGCTTTTTCGGCAAACTAAATTAGAAATTGTTTTTCCTTTTTCCCCAGATTTACTACGCCCTCTACTCATTCAGCGCCCGTTGTGCCAACGAACTGAGCATCTCGGCCAATCAGCGGCTGCGGATCCTGGAGTTCCAGGATTTGAACGGCAACAGCGAGTGGTGGCTGGGAGAGGCGGGAGGCCAACGAGGCTACGTGCCTTCCAACTACATCCGCAAATCAGAATACACATGAACAAAGTCTTATCGCGTTGACGATAATTGCGACAGCACTTGGAGCCAGTCTGAGAGCAGACAGAACAAAAGCAACGAACAAGCATTGGTTTATTTTCGATCTGTTGTGAGAAGGACTGACTTTGCTGCTGACGCTGCTCCTGAAAGTTAGCATTACACGCCTAATATTTATAGACTGTTTTTTAATTTGCTGGAACCTGCCCCCTCTCATTCCAGTGATAAACCTGTGAATTGCACCAGATTTTTTTTGCCATACACTCTGCAGATGATGACAATGAATTGTATGTGTGAGCGAGCAGACTTTTCGGTGAGCGTATTGGGAGATTTGCAATGGAAATATGAAGGTTTTGGGTTCAGGCTGCTTCTTGTGAACAAACAATGAAGTGATATGCACACAGACTGACCTAAACACTGTGTTAGATACTTTTCTTCTTCATGCGGTTCATTACTGTTCAACAAAGCTGAGGCACTTAATGACTATTATCCACTGGTTGCCAGTTTGAAGTGTCTGGAGTGTTGTATAAAATTATTATTGGGACTATTCGAATCAAGACCAAGGACAAAGTTAATGCATATGAAATACTGTTTACAAGTTTTCCCCTCCGGCTTTTTCAATACGTTATTCAACCCGGTTGACACTGTGTAAACAGGTGATGACCCATTTTTACCTGTTAGAGGACGGACAGGGAGAGAGATTTCTCCACATGCTCCTCTTTATATTATCCATAGTGCTGTACAGTGAAAATATGATATTGCACCCACTGTAAAGTGATCACTGTTTGATTAAAAAAACAGCTCAGCTGACAAATACTGACGACGTCTGGTTTTTCTTCTGCCCATCAGTTTATCACTAATCTCCAGTTTTCTACCAAAGAGGCCGTGGAGTGCCACCACAGTTCCAAGAAGAGCACGGTCATAGTGCTGGAGACAGTTTGTCAAGTTGCAAATAATACGTTTTTCAATCCATTTGCAGGTTCCGTTTGAAAAATATGCATATTTTACTAAAAGACATACCTAAACGTTTATATTGAGTGGGATATTGCATATTGTACAAGTTTCTATGCATTATCTAAACTGTTTAAGCTTTAAAGGTTGAGGGACTGTGGAGGACTGTTAAATCTGCACAAACATGGGGACGACATCCTAACTCCACACAGAAAGACCACAGGCAGAACTGATTCAAATCAAGACCATACAAGTTTTCTTTCTATTATTTTGATGTGAATAAAAAAAGCTGCTACGAAGGAGGGAATAGATATAAAAATATATTTAAACAATTCAAAATGTTGATGTATAAAGGGATATTTCAACATTGTACTGCAATGTTGTTTTTTTTGCATATTTGCAAAACCAAGAACTTCATAAATATTGCAAACTGTAAAATCAGTTTCCGTGGCAGAATATCAGTTGTTTGCTAACCCTAACCCTAACCTCCGGTGCATGTTGTTAAACTGTGGGTCACTCAGTCGTGTTTGCAAAAAACAACAGGTTTTAAAGAAAATCAATTTTTAAGACACTGACAACAGTGTAAACTAGCATTAACAGATTTATTTCATTTTTCTAAATGATATTATTTTCATGGCTAATCCGAGCTACAGATGTCACTTCATGATGACTTCAACAGAAACAAAGGTCACAGGTCATAGAAGACAAAGTGACATGTGATAACTGTCAAATCAATGCAGGGAGGAAATGATTTACAGGTGGGAGGAGAGTTTCAGGGTCTTTGTGTTTGAGGGGGATTATTGAGGTCTATCAACTCAGTCCGATCCCATCATGGCCCACATCAACACAGTCTGCTTCGTAACTTTACTGTGGGCGCTCGCTGCGTTTGGACAGGAATTCTTCGTAAGTATGAACGAAGCATGAGATCAGAGCCTTTGTCAAGATTTAAGAAGGAGTCAGGTTGATAGAGAACTGATTAATGTTTGATTTATTTGCAGGTCATCTCAGAGACAGACGACACTGGTGGTAAAGACCCTCTGAACTTTACTCAGATTGTAGTCAAACAAAGCTTTGACTGCATTAAACGTTTAACTATCTCTCTTTTTCCTCACAGATTATGGATATTACTATGATTATGCCACTGAGACTCCAGCAGGAGATTTTGATTTGACAGGTGATGACTGGTTGTACGACCTCCTGGATACCACAGGTACATTTCAAACAGCAACAGTGAGGGTTTGAGTTTGTCTCCTCTGTTAAGACGTATTGATCAACATCCCCTTTGACGAAGATTCAATCAATCGCACTTCGCTCCTGATTGATTTTGCTGAATCGTACCATCGATTGTTGGAACCAAACACGAGGCCTTCAAGCGTTAACGTGTAATTCCAACTCCTTTTAGATGAGTGTGATCCAAACCCGTGTCTGAACAGAGGCGCCTGTGAACACTCGGCTCTCGAGGGCTTCACGTGTTCATGCCCTGAACCCTACACAGGGAAGAAGTGTCAGAAAGGTATGAGGATGTCTGTCATTATATGTCCATATTCTTTATTGTGTTGGAAAGTAATTCAGAAGTTGTGTATTAACTAAAGCACTGTACTTAATTCTAATTAAGACTTTGATTCTTGTCTTTCTGGTTTCTGAGATTGAGACACATTGTTCTTTGAATTCAGCTTTTGAATTTTTGATGATTATCGTTTAAAATGAATATGAGCTGAATTAAATGAATGTTCCTTATTTTTCTTTTAAGTCAAAGACGTTTGCAGGAATGTGAAATGTGGCCACGGCAGCTGCGTCCTCACGTCCACTGCTCCCTTCTACGAGTGCAAGTGCAGACCTCCGTTCAGACCGCCCAACTGCAAGAAAGGTCTGGATCACACAGCTTTGCCGAATTATAAATGTGACATTAGCGATTTCTTACTGTATCCATATTTGTTGCGATAAGGTTGTTGGAGACATTGATTTGCGTTCACAGCTTCTCCCTGCCGACCCAATCCCTGTCAGAACGGAGGCTCCTGCATGAAGGGCCCCAGACACTCGTCCTTCCAGTGTTTCTGTCCTAACGGATACACTGGGAAATTCTGTGACGTGGGTAAATATAACTCTGTCCTCACATAGAAAACCTACATGTAAGAACCCAGAGTTTACTCGTACAGAGCGATTCAAAGTCAGCGTCCCTCTGTGCCTCCAGGTCCAGATGACTGTTACCAAAAGGACGGAGAGTTTTACCGCGGCATGGTGAGTGTGACTGCTGAGGGGGAGGAGTGTCTGGACTGGAACGCCTACTTCATCGTGCAGAACGGGGGGGATCCCTTCAAAGAGTACGCAGGCTTTGATGGAATTGGACCACACAACTACTGCAGGTGAGAGGTCGTCCTGTGTCAACACTGCTGATTGTGTGGGTTCATACCAAACTTTGTTTACTGATGCACCAGCATGAAATGACTTCCCAGGTAATAACGATGGAGGATTTTGTTTTGTTGCTCCATCCATCCCTCCTCCCGTTCATCTACCTGTCTGTCCCCCCATCCGTCCACCTGTCTGTTCATCTACTTGTCGACCTGTCCGTCTGTCCATCCATCCACCTGTCTGTCCATCCGTCCATCCGTCCACCTGCCTGTCCGTCCATCCACCTGTCCGTTAGTCCATCCAGAAAGACCCCTGGCTGGATTGGGGTTCTAACCCATCACTGTTTCGCAGTGAGGCAACAGTGCTGGCCACTTCACCGCCGTGCCGTCCCTTATTGCCATTCATTTAAATATAGTGGAGCTTTTTCATCCTTGTATTTAAAACTCTCTTTCTTCAAGGAACCCTGATGGAGATGATCAGCCCTGGTGCTTTATTAACAAAGATGGCAAACTGAAGTGGAACTATTGTAACGTCAGGAAATGTTCTGCAGGTGGAACACACACACACACACACACACACACACACACACACACACACACACACACACACACAC